ACTGCTTTTATTCTGCAGGATGTGCAGATTGATCCAAGGCGGTATGATCGTTTTGTTTGGTGGAGAGATATTTGTGTATTCTCGGTTAATTCCAGTTATTGTATGTTGCTGGATGTAGATTCGGGTGAGGCTGTTTTAGAGGCAGATAAGTTGAGGCTTTAGAGTTATTGTGGAAGAATAAGGCTCATAGCAAGACTCTTATATTTGGTTGGCAGATGATTTTGTGCAGGCTTCCGTTGAGGGTGGAATTATCAAAACGCCACATTATTGTCAAAAATCATAATAAGGTATGTCCTCTTTGTTTTTTGGATGATGAAAGCTTGGATCATATTTTCTTGCATTGTCATGTTTCGAATTGTATTTGGGTCGAAGCGAGTGGCTGGTTTGGGGCGTTGGTGTATTAGTGATATGGCTCGTTAGCAGGTTGTTTTCTGGCATATATTGAAGTTGCATGGAATGCTAGTAGGAGAATGATGGTTTAGTTTTTCAGCTTGGTTATTTGCTGGGTTATTTGGTCTTGCAGGAACGCAATTGTATTCAAGGGAGGAATTTTAATCAAGACGGATGTGTTGGGTATGATCAAGTTTATCTCGTGGGAATGGTTTTTGGCCTCTAATCGTTGCGGGTTGTATTGCTCTTGGGATGATTGGCGTGTCAATCCGACTTCTTTTTTCTTGTAATTTGGTTTCTTGTTCTGCTGTATTTTTGTTTATGCTTTCCCTTTTGGTTGGTTGCTGACTTTGTAAGGGTTGGGCACCCTTATGCTCCCTTTTATTTCCATTTTTCTTATAAAAAAATTAAATAACTTTTAAATAATAAATTGTAGGTCTTAAGATTATAGGGAACATCTATCTTTATTATTATTTATACCTATCACACTATTATGATCAGAATTCTTTAACCGGTTCTGTCGAGTATAAGTTTCATTGAACTAATAGTTAACAACCGAATCCGACCAGAGCAATCCATTGGAACTCAAAATTTTCAATCTTTTCGCCCGACACCCATTTGTACCCGCTCGTTTCAATAAAATTCGGATTGCACATACCGGATCTCGGACGGGTACTGGGTTTTTGTCCATCCCTATTGGAATGGTAGGCTTCCCAACATGTTAGGCTCTTAGGGTCTGTTTGGTTCAAATGAGGGGGAGGGGATGGATTTTAATGAAGGGGAGGGGAGGAGAGGGGAGGTGAGTGATTTTTTTAATCAGATAAGTGTTTGGTTCAAAAGAGAGGGGGGAAGGGGAAGGGAGGGATTTTAATTAAAAATGTGTTTGGTTCAGAAGAGGAAGGGATGAGTTTTATTAATAATTTACATTTTTATCCTTATGATCTTATATAAGTCATATGATATTAAAATGTGAAAAATCCATGCGTATTTTTGTTGGTAATAAAATTTCTAATATTGAGTGATTAAAAAAGTATTTATTTGTCACATAAAATTAAAAAATTGAGTACAATTGATTCGACTTATAACTTTCCAACATAAATTTAACTATATGTCAATAACATCATTTAAATTGTTATGAATCATATAACAAAACAAATATATAAAATAACTTATTATTAAATATTAATTGGTTCAAAATATTTAATAAAATGAATGGTTTACAATTTGATATAAAAAAAAATGATAGAATACATAACAAAATTAAAAGAAAAAAACGAATATAACTAAACATAATTTTTTTTTATAAAAAAAAACAATGATTATGATTTATATTAAGTATAGAAATTATAAAATAATTTGAAGGCGGAGTTATAATAAGTTGATGGAAATAATCGAGAAAAAATAATAACACGAAAGAAAACGAATAATTTTGAAATACTGAAATTAAACTGAGGATATTTTAGTAAATATAATAATTTTTAAATATCAAAACTCATATTCACTCCCCTCCCCTCCAAATCCCCCAAATTCGAAGGAAACTAAAAAGTGTGTTTTGGAGGGATTTTGCTCCCCTCCCCTCCCCCCTCCTAAGATTTAAACCAAACATATTTAATTAAAATTTTCCCCTCCCCTCCCCTCCATCTACCCCGATCCAAACACACCCTTAATGCTCTTGCCAATGGTTTTTATTCAATATTTGTAGTGGTAGCACAAACTTTTGATATGAACCTTGTAAATTTGTTATTTTTTTGGCCTAATACCTCTTTTGGTCCATTAACTTTACTCAATGTTTCGCTTTGATTCCTTAATTTAAAAAAAGTTACATAGTGGTTCATTAATTAACATTCTATTACATATTTTGGTTTCTTCCGTTAATTTTTTATGAAAAAAAGTTAAATATAGCCCTTGTTGGACCATTTAAAGCTGATCTGAAATTTCTTTAATTTTATATTGATTTAAATATTAGAAATAAATAAGATAAGAAGCTGAAAGGTATTATGACAAAGGTCAGTATTAGTTTGCATTAGTTTGGTCCCAAAACTAAGTTCATTGTGAGATTTTAAAATCTATAGCTCAAGCTTCGTTGAAGACGATTCCAAAATAGTTGGCAAAAGCAACAAAATTTTCAAGCGAAAAGATGACTTGAGAAAGATAGATCGATCGAAACATTCAACTTATTTAGATATTTAGTTGATGATTCTGTTCTTGATGTTTTTCGCAAAGAAGCTGAGAACTGTGGTTGATTGCAAGGTGTGGTTTTTTCAACTTGTTTAGAAATTTTGTTGAGATTTATGTTGATTTGTTCTAAGTCTGGTTTTTTGCAGGGTATGTGATAATGAAGTCTTATATGATATTTTCTTCCTTACCCTTGAGCTCACAACCTCAATCTGTAAGCTATTTTTCAACTAATATTTTTCAACCACTCTGCAATCTAAAATAATATTCTCTCTTCTATGTTTTTAGAGAAGTGCGTCTATTGGTTGTGGTGGGGATTGCAAAACTTGAGGTTTGGTTTTAGGATTTATAAAATCTTCCCTTCATTGTTGATTTCGTATTGTCACCATATGACCACTGTAACTTGTTTTTCTTTTACAATGTAGGAACCTTATAGTGTTTCACAAGAAATGGAACGGAAACAGGCACTGTCCATGGTTCTCTCCCAAACAAGACAACAAGAGAAAAGAGATGAAGAGATCTTGTCCTTTAAAAAATTATATTTTCACACAAAAACTTTTTACCTGACATGCCAACTTAGCAATAGTTAACGTTTTTTCCACACAAACTAACCGTAGGGATCAAATGATTTAATGGAAGTGAAATTAAGAAATTATTATGTAACGTTTTTTAATTCGGGGACCAAAACGAAACTTCGCTCAAAGTTAAGGGATCTAAGTGTTGGACTTTCAACTAGGGAGCATTGAACATAGTGGGACTTTTTCTAGAGCAACCTTTGTGAGAGACACACCACATACTCACCCAAAACCTTAAGGTGATAGGTGTGTGGGTTCTCTCATTTATAAATGCTCAAGTCACCACATTTCTATCCAATGTGGGACTATTATCCACACTACTCACACTTGTTAATACTTTAACTTTAACACTAAGGACTAATTATATACTTATTTGTTTTTCTTTTTTCTTTCCACTTATTTTCTTTTATGTAAAAAAAATACTCTTAGTGAATAGTAAATAAAATAAATATTATATTTATAACAAATACATACTATATATTTAGTTTGTTTATATTTATGATAGGATATGGAGAATCAAATTTTCTATTTTATATGCTCCCTCATATTTCCATAAATTAGTGTACTCGTACTTAAGGGTGGCAAAATGGATGGATTGGATGGATATAGATTGGATTGTTAATGGATGAATCAAAACAATCCATTAATCCATTAACAATCCACTAAACTCTCTTAATAAAAATCCAATCCAATCCATCCATCAAAAGATAAAATTCATCCAATTCATCCATTAACATATTTTTAATGGATGGATATCCATTCATCCAAAAAATTAATTTAAAAATTCTTAATTTAATAAGTAACAACATAATATCCAATGGATTTATAAAATGAGATGGATGGATTGAATTCATCCATATGAGTTAGTGGATGGATTGGATCAAATCCATTAAATTATTTTTTGTCTTATGGATGGATTGGATGGATAAATTATTGGATGGATTGGTTGAATATTATCTAAATGGATTTCATTGTCACCTCTACTCATACTCGGTTTTAGTATTTAGTTCAATTGTGATTCAATCCAGTTTTAATTAATTCTATTCAAATAAAATATTGATTCAATATTGTACTCACAAAAAGCTCATCAACAAGCTTTCATAGCTCAGTTGGTTAGAGCACCCGTTTAGTAAGCGGGAGGTCTTGAGTTCAACTCTCAATGAAAGCAATTTTTAATTTTTTTTCCTTCATATTCAGCCTTTAGCTCACTACTCTCAAGTTCATTCATTTTCATTCCCTTGAAAGCTATATTGACCAAACAAATGAAATTCTTCCTTCATATTCAGCCTTTAGCTCACTACTCTCAAATTCATTCATTTTCATTCCCTTGAAAGCTATATTGACCAAACAAATGAAATTCTGTATTGATGAAAACTTTAAAACATTCTTTTGGCAGAAAATTTATGGAAAGTTTCATGTTAAGTTCAATTTTACTCCCTCTATGTCTCGTTAAAACCAGAAAAGAGAAATTTGAGTGTTTGATAAAGAGTAGAGTTATCAAACAGAATCACGTTGAACTACTATGTGATCCAGATTGTTGTATGCAATCATCACATTTGTAGCTGCTCGATTAAGATTGGACAGTCTAAATTTTAAATTCGTATTTTAGATTTAATAAAACGCTACAAATGTGTCAACTGTCTGCATGCAATTCGTATCCACTGATAGTTATGCTATCCACTAAAACCAAATCAGTAATATTCTCAGTGGAAAGTAAAAGCTTCAGCAGTTGGTACAGTACAGGGCAATGATAGTTCTATTGAGAATAAAGTGTTCCTTTTCTTCTTCAAATATTGAGTTCACGACTTGTTTACAAATAATTTTTTTGGTCACTTATCGATGTAAAATACTCCCAGAAAACTATTTTGAATTCTTCTTCATATCAGCTTCTCTGAATGATTTTTCAACAAGGCCGGACAGGGTCAATTTCAAATCACGGGTCATCCTGGAAAGAATCAAGGATAATGTGTTCACATCTACCATGGCTCTGTGGGCTGAGCCATCCACTTTAATATCATAGAACTTGCTAAGGGCATCAAGGGATGCTGAAGGAAGTTTTGTTCCTGTAAACAGAAAACATTACGGCTTTCATACAGAAACAGCAAGGACTTGTGTGTTGTGTGTGCGTGTGTGATTGTTTGATAAGCCTTTGAAACAAACAGATATGAACCTTTAGGCTTTAGTTGGCGTGCTAAAGGAAGAGTGTCCAGAAATAGCCAATTCAGAGGAATCGGTGTCGAACATCGACGTAACTCATTAATGATGAACGGTACATCAAAAATACGAGCATTATGAGCAACCCATAACACGTATCCCCCAGGTTTCTCACGGCTTCGAATGTAGCTTAATAATATGGGAACCAGATCTTCCATCCTACAAAAGAAATCATAAGAATTAAAAAACAATCAACGGCTTCCTATACAAAACTAATTAAATAGTTCAAATAGACTCAATCATCAATGTCCACAAACAAGTTTTGAAACTGATGAATATCTGATTCCAAACTTCAAATGCAGTCATTATATGACAAACATATGGCATCTGATTCCAACACATAGTAGTAGTACATGGTTAATTAATATAACTCTCTTCAACACCTTAAGTTAATGTCTTATTAGTTTAGACTGTGCCTAATCATGTTCTTTAGTCATATACATCAACAAGGAAAACTATTATGATTCTACTGATCCTCATATATTGATCTGACAACTATGTATTCTCACTACAGTAGCAACTAATTAAATCAGGAAAATGCTACACCCGTTTCACAGTGAAAGGCGATTAATGGAGCATAGGGAGGCTTCAACAATGTGCAATGATCTAATAACCATCCAAATGCACTACAAAGTAAGGCATTTTATATAACAGAATGTGAGATGATAACAAAAGCAAATTAAAAATTGACGAGCTCAAATAAATTCCAACTATAAGAATCCAACTATTTTAGCATTGTCTATTCAAATAAATTCCAGATATAAGTGAAGGCTGTGTTGTAAGGACAAGATCGAATACTTTATTTTGTAAAAGTAAGCATAATCTCTAAGTGCCACAGAGATATAGGTTACCTCGGAACACCGGGTTTGTTCACCATATCTGTAGTAATGCCGTGAATTTTTGAGTTTTCAATACGGCATTGAGGATTTACAAGAGTTTCGAAAGTGCTGTTCGGACCACCCTGAAGATCTCGAAGCGCAATCTCAATGATCCTTCCTTTCTCTCGGTGAAGCCCGGTGGTCTCAATATCAAAAACAATAACAGTGACTAAGCTGGACAAGTCTTTATTCTGAGCTATCTCTTGTTGAATGCTACATTGCTGAATTTCCTGAAATTGACGGAGCTGTGTTTTATTTACATTTTCGGTAGAACTTGTTGAAACTGTTTCACTCAAAATTTCTTGCTTGGTGCTTCTTGATTTGGTGTCTGCGCTGCTTTCTGTAGTTGTAGTTATCGGTCTTCGGGTCCACTTTTTTCTGTGGCCTCCTTGAAGTCCATAAATTCTAGAGCCAAGCAACCTTACACTATGATTGTTTTGACAAATGTTACCGAAGCTGGGGAAGGTTTTACCCCAATTATTAGCTAAGCTGTGTATTCTGCATCTAGGTACTTGCAAAAAGGAAAAAATCATGGAGCCAGTCTTCATCTGAATGAATTCAATAACAACTAAGAATATTATCTGATCAAGAATTCCCTATCAAGTGAGCAATCAGCTACAACCTGAAAAGTAGAAGAAAAAAAATTAGGGGGAAAAAATTGAGACACACATTAAAAAACTGAGCAAGCATGAATTCTGATATGAGTTTGATCTTCTAATGCTATATCTAGAATAACAGCAAGTCATAAATAAGTAGATAAAAAATACAAATTCATGCAGAATAAAGAAAGATATCAAATTAAATGAAAATTTTCAGCAGTTGGACTTAATGGATTTCTTCAAAAATATTTCAATGCTGAGGAATGACAACTAGAATCTCTACAAACCACAACAACACCAACAACAACGAGGCCTTATCCCACTAAGTGGAGTCGGCTACATGGATCAACTTTCGCCATAATATTCTATCTACAACCGTGTTTCTATTCAAATCATTAATCTCGAGATCTTTCTTAATAACTTCAATTATAGTCTTTCTAGGTCTTCCTCTTCCTCTAATTTTTTGACTTCTCTCCACCTTTTCTACTCTCCTTATTAAAGAATCTAAAAGCCTTCTCTCTACATTCTCAAACCAGCTAAGTCTATTTTCCACCATCTTCTCTACTATAGATGCTACCCCCACACTCTCTCTAATATTTCATTTCTAATCTTATGTTATCTAGTCTTACCACACATTCAACACAACCCAAACCAAATTCTTTTTGAACCAGAACAAATAATTGCAGAAAAGAACAATTGAATAATCTTCCAGCATGAGCAAAATGATGAATTACAAAACCATATGGCGAATATTGTAAATTCTATAAGCTGCAGAAAAACAGAAACACATGAAATGCTAAAAGCGTATTAGGTTGTGTGAGAACAATATACAAACAGTTAGTGTGCATATTGTAAAAAAGAAAGAAAGAAGAACTGAAAGAGTATAGAAAGAAAAAGGGTTAGTTACCATTGAGATGGAAGTTGAGAAGAAAAGCATTTGGAAGAAATTGTTGAGAATTGTTGGTAGTTATAGTTATAGGTATAGAGAGAGAAAGAGAAAGAGTGTTGAAGAGAAAGAAGGAACGTGCTGCGTTGAAGAACGTCGTAAGTTGCGGATCGCCTCTTGTTTCTTTCCCTTAAATATTTCATTTCTGTCCTTTCATTTTTCTTTCCATCACATGGATACCCTAAAAAATAAGGGCGTGTAGTTTTTTTTCTCAACATTTTTCTAATATGGTTATGTCACATGATCTATCTTATTTTCTTTCTGGTGCAGTTTTTTTGAAGTGAGAATATTCGTATACAAAATAGTTGATACATACAAACATGACTTTAACGATGTTTTGGTCTATTAAACAATCATGTGCGACTATGCCTTGCTTGAGATGGTTGCGCACGTTTGGTTGAGTGGTTCATATTTATTCATTTTCAGCACGTATTAGTATGATATATATTGCTAAAATAGAGGTGTGTCAAAATGTTAAATACGAGATATACCGTGTCATAATCAAAATGTTAGATATGAAGTGCTTCAAAATGTCAAATAAGTAAGATGACTCATATATTTATTATTTTAAGATTTTTAATGAATATATGTTATCTTTCTCACTTATTTAGGTGAGTGTTTGACCTTAGATGCGTGTTTGACCTAATGTGTATATTTTTCTCTCTTGATGACCAATCAAAATCATCAAAATATACAAAATAAACTCCCAATACTAAGTATATTGAACACCCATATTTCTCTTCTATCGTTGGTAGTGCAACGCATTTCGTGTCTCTACTAAGATGGTCTATAGAGTGATCATTTAAAGGTGTCATCCACAAACTCGCTCCTAGCTATGACCTCTCTCCCTATAGTCACAGTGCGATGACATGCAGGTAACAAATCAACGATATGGTTCACCCTTTCTTGCTACTCCTCTAAGATTTTCTGATGAGTTGACCACAAGGGATTTACCTTTGCATCTGATGTCATAAAAGAATATGATACTATAAAAACCATTGAATATAGTTGTATATTGTACTCCATGAACAAGCAGTTATGTAACACCCTGATTTATCGTTTGTTTGTTTTAAATTAAATTAAAACTATTTTTTAATTGATTCTTGGTATGTTAGGTGGTTTTGGGGTTTTTTTTGGAGAATATTGAGAATTAATTAAACTTGTAGTTATTTTATTTAATTAAATTAATAAAGAAAATAGAGACTTTTAAGAGTTTGGGTAGAAATTAAGAATAATGATCTAATGGGGTAAAGTGGTGAAATTCAAGGCCGGTTTGGGCCTAAGTGAAATAATTAAGAATGTTAAATTAGGTTAATGTAAATTATGGGATTAATGGAGATTAAGAGTTTTACAGTATGTGAACTTAGAGAGTTTTGAAAGAAAGAGTTTTTGGAGAAAATATGCAATCAAGGGTTTGAGGGAGAAGGGGATTCTATAGTCAAGAAAATTGTTTGCTTTGCTGAAAAATTAAGGTAAGGGGGATAACTACTCTATAATGGGTGTCAATTTCATGAAAGGGTGGTGAGAAATTCATGCCCTCCTCCAGGTTTTTCTCTTATTTTGCCATTGTTGATATGCATGTAACTGTTGATTATGAAAATATGAATAATTTGTTGTGAATGATGTTGTTATAGTGAAATTTGTGTTCTATGTTGTGCTGGAAATTACTCATGATAAATGGGTATGGATGTGTATGATGTTGTTGTTATTGAAGTGTTATGGATTTCATGAATATAATCTTGAATCATGATTAAATGATGAAATTAAATGTTAATTTGTGTAAAATTGACCTACTAATAGAATATAGTTATAAATGATTTTTGGCAAAAATATTGTTTAGGTCCTTTAAGTTATTTTAAAATAACAAGTTAGTCTTTTAAGTTTTTATTTGTAACAATTTGGTCCTTTAGGTTAACTAACGTTTGCATCGTTAACCTTTTTAAGATTTTCTGTTCCAAAAAAATATATGTGGCACAGACGGTGATGAAGTGGCAGTTAACGTTGTTGAAGTGTCAAGGAGAGTCGTTGAATTGGCATTTATTATTCCTCAAGTGTTTAAGCATGACTGTTACATCTTAAGTGTTACAGAATCCTAATTTTCTTTCCCCCTTGCTGACTGTTGCGGTTGGTGAAGCTTCTTCTTCCTCTTGCGTTCAGGGTACATTGAAGGTGAAGAATCCCTAGCGTTCATGATACATTTAGGTACGTATGTTTACACAATGACGATTGTTTTTTGTGTATTCATTGTTATTTGAATAGTTATGTTATGCACAGTTACACACACTTGTGTCATATCAACATTAGGTTGATTGTTAGGTTAATGTTGGTTATAAGTAATGATAGTTTCTATTGTAGGGTAAGTTTCTTATTTTAGGTTGATGTATACAGGAACATAATGCTTATGGATGAGTTTTACGTTGACTTTCATCATGGGGAGTATTTCGTTGATGACAAATATGTAGGAGGTGAAGTGTCAAATTGGAAGTGTGATGGTGACAGATGGAGTTATTTTGAAATACTATGGATTGTTAAAGAAATGAACTATCAAATAGTTCAGGAAATGTGGTATGTGTAACAGCCCAATTTTTCAATAATTAATTATTCATATTAATTAATTGATTTATTTGGATGATTAATTAAATGAATTGGTAGATATTTTGAGAGAAGAAAATGTTGGAGAGAATTAGAAGGGAAAGACATATAAGAGGAAAAGTGGAAAGAAAAGGTAAGATAGAAACATAAGAGAAAGAGGAAGAGGAGAAAAGAGAAGGAAAAAGAGGAAAACTTGGATTCTTCAAGAACAACTTCCAACTTTCGGTTAATCAAGGTAAGGGTGTGAAATGTTGTTATCTTATCAATGTTTGTGATTATGTATGTGTGTGTTTGGATTTGTTTGGATGTTTTCATCTTTTTCCATTCTAGGGCAGAAATGAATTTAATCGATAGAGTCGATATTTGAACGGTTAGAATCGGGAATAAATGGCGTAGTTTAGTCGGGTAATATTGGGTTAAGATTACTGGAGTTGATTGGAATTGAATCGGTTGATTTTGGGAGGATTGGACGATTTTGGACAGTTTGGGGTTCTGAGTTCGCAGGTTCACTAGCGTTCGCTAGGCGAACAGGAAGCGAAGGTTCGCCAGGCGAAGCCCAGCGAGTGGGTAGCGAACCATTACAGTGGCCAAACTCAGTCTTCGTTGGTGTGTTCGCCAGGCAAAGGAGGTGGCGAGAGGGTTCTCCGGGCGAAGCCCAGCGAATACTTCCAGTAGCTATTGTCTGCCTTTGCTAGTGAGTTCGCCAGGCGAGTGAAGCAGCGAGCATTCGCCAGGCGAAGGTCAGCGAATGTGACAACATTTTTCATTTCTTGTGTTTTCCATCCAATGTTGATTGTGTGGTTTGATTATGTTTAGTCCTTATCTGAAATGAATAGTTGTGTACTATTATGATAAGATGTGTTGTGGGTAGCCGTATGGCGTGAACCATAGATTGTGAATTGTGAAGTATGAAATGTGGCCGTTTGGCAATTATGTGCATTGTTTGAATTAAATGAAAATGTGTGATGATTGTGATTGAGTTCGTTGTCGTTAGCACGATGTTATTAATAATGCATGAGAACATATTGTGAATATGTGTGAATTGCTTGTAATTGTATGTGAAGGATGCATGAGAACATATTAGTGAATATGTGTGCATTTCTTGATAATATGGTGATGATGATTTAAAGTATGAATACTTTGATTATGTGAAATATGTTGTGTGTGCAATCATGTTATAATTCTTGTGTGATGAATTATTGAGAATGCATGAGATTAAGATGCGAGAATGGTCTTAAGTGCATTTGGTTGTTGATTGCATATGCATCATTTAGTTAAGAGGCAATACTTGCTAGTTTCGTGGAGACTAGTGACTTGTCCCAAACCTAGAAGAGTGGGTTTGAAATCTTAGAGGACGGGCTTTTGTTGTTATCGGTCTAGAGGAAGGACCCGATTTAAATGTAAAAACTGA